TAGTTTGTCTTCTGATCATGACCAATCATCTAGCCACAATTCAATTCAATGCTTCCATTAATTTTTCAGATAGCGTGTCGACGTGGACTATCGTTCCTGTGCAAAAGTGAGGCAAATGTTCTGTTTGGACTGCCACTCCAGCCCATCGCCAAGTTGTTTTCCATGTCGCGACACAAGACACTGTTTAGGGAGAGAAAAACAATATTTCGTTTAAATCTTCTGTCTAGTTTGTCTTCTGATCATGACCAATCATCTAGCCACAATTCAATTCAATGCTTCCATTAATTTTTGAGATAGCGTGTAGACGTGGACTATCGTTCCTGTGCAAAAGTGAGGCAAATGTTCTGTTTGGACTGCCACTGCAGCCCATCGCATAGTTTTGCTACGTGTCGCGACACAAGACACTGTTTAGGGAGAGAAAAACAATCTTTCGTTTAAGTCTTCTGTCTATTTTGTCTTCTTTTCGTGACCAATCATCTGGCCAAAGTTCAATTCAATGCTCCAATTAATTTTTGAGATAGCGTGTCGTCGTGGACTATCGTTCCTGTGCAAAAGCGAGGCAAATGTTCTGTTTGGACTGCCACTGCAGCCCATCGCCAAGTTTTGCTACGTGTTGCGACACAAGACACTGTTTAGGAAGAGAAAAACAATATTTCGTTTAAATCTTCTGTCTAGTTTGTCTTCTGATCATGACCAATCATCTGGCAAAAATTCAATTCAATGCTCCAATTATTTTTTGAGATAGCGTGTCGTCGTGGACTATCGTTCCTGTGCAAAAGCGAGGCAAATGTTCTGTTTGGACTGCCACTGCAGCCCATCGCCAAGTTTTCCTACGTGTTGCGACACAAGACACTGTTTAGGAAGAGAAAAACAATATTTCGTTTAAATCTTCTGTCTAGTTTGTCTTCTGATCATGACCAATCATCTGGCCAAAATTCAATTCAATGCTCCAATTAATTTTTCAGATAGCGTGTCCTCGTTCACTATCGTTCCTGTGCAAAAGTGAGGCAAATGTTCTGTTTGGACTGCTACTGCAGGCCATCGCCAAAGTGTTCTCCATGTCGCGACACAAGACACTGTTTAGGGAGATAAAAAACAAAATTTCGTTGAAATCTTCTGTCTAGTTTGTCTTCTGATCATGACCAATCATCTGGCAAAAATTCAATTCAATGCTCCAATTAATTTTTCAGATAGCGTGTCGACGTGGACTATCGTTCCTGTGCAAAAGTGAGGCAAATGTTCTGTTTGGACTGCCACTCCAGCCCATCGCCAAGTTGTTTTCCATGTCGCGACACAAGACACTGTTTAGGGAGAGAAAAACAATATTTCGTTTAAATCTTCTGTCTAGTTTGTCTTCTGATCATGACCAATCATCTAGCCACAATTCAATTCAATGCTTCCATTAATTTTTGAGATAGCGTGTAGACGTGGACTATCGTTCCTGTGCAAAAGTGAGGCAAATGTTCTGTTTGGACTGCCACTGCAGCCCATCGCATAGTTTTGCTACGTGTCGCGACACAAGACACTGTTTAGGGAGAGAAAAACAATCTTTCGTTTAAATCTTCTGTCTATTTTGTCTTCTTTTCGTGACCAATCATCTGGCCAAAGTTCAATTCAATGCTCCAATTAATTTTTGAGATAGCGTGTCGTCGTGGACTATCGTTCCTGTGCAAAAGCGAGGCAAATGTTCTGTTTGGACTGCCACTGCAGCCCATCGCCAAGTTTTCCTACGTGTTGCGACACAAGACACTGTTTAGGAAGAGAAAAACAATATTTCGTTTAAATCTTCTGTCTAGTTTGTCTTCTGATCATGACCAATCATCTAGCCACAATTCAATTCAATGCTTCCATTAATTTTTCAGATAGCGTGTCGACGTGGACTATCGTTCCTGTGCAAAAGTGAGGCAAATGTTCTGTTTGGACTGCCACTCCAGCCCATCGCCAAGTTGTTTTCCATGTCGCGACACAAGACACTGTTTAGGGAGAGAAAAACAATATTTCGTTTAAATCTTCTGTCTAGTTTGTCTTCTGATCATGACCAATCATCTAGCCACAATTCAATTCAATGCTTCCATTAATTTTTGAGATAGCGTGTAGACGTGGACTATCGTTCCTGTGCAAAAGTGAGGCAAATGTTCTGTTTGGACTGCCACTGCAGCCCATCGCATAGTTTTGCTACGTGTCGCGACACAAGACACTGTTTAGGGAGAGAAAAACAATCTTTCGTTTAAATCTTCTGTCTATTTTGTCTTCTTTTCGTGACCAATCATCTGGCCAAAGTTCAATTCAATGCTCCAATTAATTTTTGAGATAGCGTGTCGTCGTGGACTATCGTTCCTGTGCAAAAGCGAGGCAAATGTTCTGTTTGGACTGCCACTGCAGCCCATCGCCAAGTTTTCCTACGTGTTGCGACACAAGACACTGTTTAGGAAGAGAAAAACAATATTTCGTTTAAATCTTCTGTCTAGTTTGTCTTCTGATCATGACCAATCATCTAGCCACAATTCAATTCAATGCTTCCATTAATTTTTCAGATAGCGTGTCGACGTGGACTATCGTTCCTGTGCAAAAGTGAGGCAAATGTTCTGTTTGGACTGCCACTCCAGCCCATCGCCAAGTTGTTTTCCATGTCGCGACACAAGACACTGTTTAGGGAGAGAAAAACAATATTTCGTTTAAATCTTCTGTCTAGTTTGTCTTCTGATCATGACCAATCATCTAGCCACAATTCAATTCAATGCTTCCATTAATTTTTGAGATAGCGTGTAGACGTGGACTATCGTTCCTGTGCAAAAGTGAGGCAAATGTTCTGTTTGGACTGCCACTGCAGCCCATCGCATAGTTTTGCTACGTGTCGCGACACAAGACACTGTTTAGGGAGAGAAAAACAATCTTTCGTTTAAATCTTCTGTCTATTTTGTCTTCTTTTCGTGACCAATCATCTGGCCAAAGTTCAATTCAATGCTCCAATTAATTTTTGAGATAGCGTGTCGTCGTGGACTATCGTTCCTGTGCAAAAGCGAGGCAAATGTTCTGTTTGGACTGCCACTGCAGCCCATCGCCAAGTTTTCCTACGTGTTGCGACACAAGACACTGTTTAGGAAGAGAAAAACAATATTTCGTTTAAATCTTCTGTCTATTTTGTCTTCTTTTCGTGACCAATCATCTGGCCAAAATTCAATTCAATGCTCCAATTAATTTTTCAGATAGCGTGTCGTCGTGCACTATCGTCCCTGTGCAAAGTGAGGCAAATGTTCTGTTGGACTGCCACTGCAGCCCATCGCTAAGTTTTGCTACGTGTCGCGACACAAGACACTGTTTAGGGAGAGAAAAGCTTTATTTCGGCAAAATCTTCTGTCTAGTTTGTCTTCTGATCATGACCGATCATCTGGCAAAAATTCAATTCAATGCTTCAATTAATTTTTCAGATAGCGTGTCGACGTGGGCTATCGTTCCTGTGCAAAAGTGAGGCAAATGTTCTGTTTGGACTGCCACTCCAGCCCATCGCCAAGTTGTTCTCCATGTCGCGACACAAGACACTGTTTAAGGAGAGAAAAACAATATTTCGTTTAAATCTTCTGTCTATTTTGTCTTCTTTACGTGATCAATCATCTGACCAAAATTCAATTCAATGCTTCCATTAATTTTTGAGATAGCGTGTCGTCGTGCACTATCGTTCCTGTGCAAAAGTGAGGCAAATGTTCTGTTTGGACTGCTACTGCAGCCCATCGCCAAAGTGTTCTCCATGTCTCGACACAAGACACTGTTTAGGGAGAGAAAAACAATATTTCGTTTAAATCTTCTGTCTAGTTTGTCTTCTTTTCATGACCAATCATCTGGCCAAAATTCAATTCAATGCTCCAATTGATTTTTGAGATAGCGTGTCGACGTGGACTATCGTTCCTGTGCAAAAGTGAGGCAAATGTTCTGTTTGGACTGCCACTGCAGCCCATCGCCAAGTTTTGCTACGTGTTGCGACACAAGACACTGTTTAGGAAGAGAAAAACAATATTTCGTTTAAATCTTCTGTCTAGTTTGTCTTCTTTTCATGACCAATCATCTGGCTACAATTCAATTCAATGCTCCAATTATTTTTGAGATAGCGTGTCGACGTGGACTATCGTTCTTTTGCAAAAGTGAGGCAAATGTTTTGTTTGGACTTCCACTGTAGCCCATCGCCAAGTTTTGCTACGTGTCGTGACACAAGACACTGTTTAGGGAGATAAGAACAATATTTCGTTAAAAGCCTTACATTTTTAGTCAAAATCGGCAAAAAGGCAGAAATTTATCTGGATGCAAGAGGAACATCAATCAATACTCTAACACACATAATTTTGAAGATTTTGGCAGAAATCGTCCATTTTTGGAGGGAAAAGGTAATTTTTGGAGCAATTTTACCTCAATATTTCGACAGAATTTCCCCTTTAATAGCACATCTGTCCAGAAATCGATTTGGAATGCTTTCTAGGGCCCTTATGGCATCTTTCTAGCAACTTTCAGGAAATTTCATTTTTGGCCAAAATTGAAAAAAATGCAAGGGGTTAGCCTTACATTTTTAGTCAAAATCGTCCAAAAATTGACTTTTCTCAAAACAAGGCAGAAATTCATCTGGATGATAGAGGAACATCAGTCGATACTCTAACACATATAATTTTGAAGATTTTGGCAGAAATCGTCAATTTTTGGAGAAAAAAAAGGTAATTTTTCAACCGCAGAATTTCATCTTTACCTACCTCTGTGGCGACTATTGATTGTCGCCTCTAGCGGTCCCTACCTCTGGGGGCGACTATTGATTGTCGCCTCTAGCGGTCCCTACCTCTGGGGGCGACTATTGATTGTCGCCTCTAGCGGTTCCTACCTCTAGGGGCGACTATTGATGGTCGCCTCTAGCGGTACGTACCTCTAGGGGCGACTTTTATTGTCGCCTCTAGCGGTACCTACACACATCAAGTTACAATTTCTGCTTGTACTAATTAAAAACACACAAGAACGTGAAAGTATTCAGCTTTTCCACTTCTCTGTTTCACTGTTTTTATTTATTATTATCCTCAATCATCCATTGAAATGCCCTGTATAATCAGCACCAATTACTTCACATAATCACCATCTTAATCATATTTTCTACTCATTCAGCATAAGCATTGGAATGATAAAAAAAACTTTCTCATGTATAAATAATAAACTCAAGTTGGAAATGAAAGATGAAACATACGTCAACAAGATTTTTTTAACTTGAATTTTAAAAGGTGGAGTCATAATTTCTTTTTATTTTAATCTAAACCTATTTGCACAACTTTTTATATAACAATTCTAAATATTCTCTGATAATTTTTTTTCTCCAAATCTAGCTTTGTTTAAAACACAAACTAATTTAAATAATGTTTAATTTAATAAATACATTTTGGGATCTTTTGTGATATACTGAAGATTTTCTTGATCATTTTAAGATTATACGACAACATTCCAATAATACTCAAATGTATTACATTCATTATCAGATTTCTTACAGGGCTATTAAGGAGAAAATAAAAGTGAAAAAAAGTAACAGTTCTTGTTTTTTTCTCAAAAATATTAAACATAAATCTAACAGTTTTGTGAGGAACATTTCTTTTGTCTGCCAAAATCCAACACGTGTGTTTAATTTACATGTACTTAAAAAAAAAACACAAGTCAAATTTGAAATTGGGACATCATGTTAATGGTTGAGCTCTTCCGTCCTACATCCATCAAATTCAACTTGTACCAATCCTATTGGATTCTGTAGGATTCCGTAGGGTTTGGGTTAAGAGAACACTCTTTGGAAACATTCTTTCTGTGTTAACTAATATTGGATATGGTTCAAACTATATTTTGTTATTTTACACTTTCCATGCGTAAGGATCGAGACAAACTGGGTCAAATAATTTCTACAGTACAGAAATCAGGAAGAGGAAACAATATATATGTAGATTTGCTTTGAAATAAAGAACAGAGTTAAACAAAAGAATATAAACATGTACATGTTCAAGCGTTCAGAGAAAAATCAAAACCAGGGTTTTGAAGTATATGTACAGAACTGGAATTTTTTTGAACGCTATACACAAATCAACCCTGTAGGAGATAAAATCAAAAGTAAAAGGCAAGTAAAAAGGTCAGAAAAAGAAACAAAACTTTTATCCAGTTTTCGGGGACCACGTTTCATGTGCACAATAAAGGGTATGTCAGTGGACAATGCATTTTTGTTATAGTGTGTTGGTCACTTGATGTCTTGAGATTTGTCAAAACTCAACACATTAACTAACGTCTGACTGTGTAAAAGAATACCCCAAAATAGGAATTAAAAAGTGAACAACAATGAGAATTCAAGTTTAAGAGAATTATTAGACTTTCAACAAACATTTCTCTTACATAATCGAACCCCTTCTACTGAGTTCAAGTTTAAATATGTAAGAATTGTAAATTATATAACATGTTTCCATTTGAACAATCATCAACTTCTTTTTGATGGTTTTAAAAATAAATATTTTGGATACAGTGTCAAAGGTAAATGCTATGTTAGACTTAAGTTCCAATATTAAAGTTCCTATTTTTTTTGTCATAAAACAAATCTACAAAATTAGCATCCTAAACCGGCATGACAAAATCACCTTACTTATTAACAAAGACACAATAATTTTGAGGACATTTAAAAATTACAATCAGTTTTAGTTTCTACCGAACATTTTGGATGGTATATAGGACAGGTTGTTAGGGCTTGCTCCAGTGAACAAACTATACAGAGCAAAATATAGACCTATTGCGAAAAAAAGAAAATCACCAGTGTATTTTGGGGGTTTCTGCTCGTCCCAAAAATATAGACTTGGACCAGTACACTCAATTTCAGATTTTTAAACTCTCTTAAGATGTACATGAGAAATATATGTACAACAAAAACTATCCCACAAATTGGCACGTAGCCAAAACACAAAATACCATCAACTGAATGAATTGCAGTGCTACTTCCTCTGGGGCCGTTGGACCCCCTTAGCTTCAACGGATTGAAGTGCACCTCGTATCACACACTACCACAGGCAAATTACTATGCGCCTTCCTTCAAAAGGCACTGCGCATGCAGGCTCACGTTCAGCTTTGTCGTAGACACACTATAGAGTCCATATATACCTAAAGCTAGAGAAGCATGCGCGTGGCTTTTTATAATAATCCGCTTTCGACGTCTGTCTCTTTTTGAGTCAAGACAACCTGGTTTCGGATCAGCAGAAATGAACAGAGATCTGTGCGAAACGCAATACCCTGAACAGTCATGTCTTTTATAACACACAAAGCCGCTTATCGTCGTTTGTTGTACCGTTTGATCCGGCGTCTTGACGCTTCAGACGTCTTCCGGAACAACAGGCAAGGTGCTCTTGGATGGTCGGGATGACAGCAGGGTCTGTTTGTCCTCCGAGACGGCTTCTGTCTTCTGCCGCCTCCGCAGCTTCTTTGCATAGTACACCATGTAGACGGGCATGCCATAGTTCAGCACCGTCATGACAAACAGAACCACATTGACCTGAGGGGCACAGCGAGAAAAACAAACAGAACAAAATTTAGTACCCAACGTTATATACCAATTTCAGTGGGTGAATGTAAGTTTGGTCGAAAGTCTGCTAAAATAATATGCATGGGTGCAATATCATGGCACTTCTTACTCCAAGTGAGACTTCACTAATAATTTATAAAGAAAATTCCAAGCTAATGCCAATCATATTTTACAAGGTCATTGAGGAATTTTGGCTTGTACAGTCCTGTAGATTTCATCACTAATTGTTATTATGTGCTTGAAGGATTAGCACATAATTTCTACGCTGTTGTAAGGCAAAGAAATCCATGAAAAATTCGGCCAGCTCGCTTATTTTTTTTGTTAATCTCTTTACTTAAAAAAGCTGGTATAAAAAAACCATGACCCAACTATATCCGACCCCATAAACGATTTCATCGTCCTGAACAATCCTTCAACCTAGCCATGAACTATCGGACAATTTCACTGACACTGAACGAGAGCTTAACAATCGCAGGGATGTGATAGGAAATACTGGTATTGCCTTTCAACTTCCTGCCAAGCAAATAAAAGACAATGCCTTGAATAGTATCGAGAGAGGAAGTATATCATTCTAGACTGGTCGCACAGAATGCCCGGATATGAGGTGGACAATTATCAACGGCAACCTTCCTGGGACAAAACCTTGGCCTGGCCGAGTCTGTGACACAAATTACGGCCATGAACAATCACATCTGACAACTATATCTCCTGATGGTTTTATCATGCCCATTAGTATGGAACAATGTCAGATTTGCTGTATAGAGCTTATCCACAGAAGCCATCTTAGAGAGCAGCGCTTTTTGTCTTCTGCATTGACAGGTACAAATAGACCTTTTCGTTGATTGGTATTACTGACTGAACATAACTAAAATGCCTTCTGAGATGGCCGCCACGCAAAAGGTCTCAGATGTTAAAACATTCTTCAATTTGTTTTCTTAACAAAAAAGTCTCTGCGCTTTGTACATTTGTGTGCTTTGGCAAGTATGTTCTTCAGTGCTTCTAAAGCAAGGATGCCTTTAATTTTGAAAAAAAAAAAATTTCACACAGGGTTGATGATTTTTTATTCCATGATACTTACGTAGAAAGGGTTGCCTTCTAGAGGTCCCTGGATGACCATGAAGATGGGATATTGGAAGAGCGTGAAGCAGGCGGAGATGAGCGACTGAAGACCGATCAAACTGCCCGTCTGAGAAGCAGGATATCTAAAATAAAGAGGACAACAAAAAATCCAACATTATTTCATGAACTACGAAATCAAACCAGTCAGGATATGAAATGCAGAGATGTAATTTTTACAATGTCTGAAAAAACCAGTTCACCTCTCCAAAAAACTCACATCTGAAAATGCAATTCTGTTGCCAAAGGCTCAGAATGAATAGAAGAAAACCCAGATATTCCAAGCCCAATTTTGTGGAGGTTTGTGATAACTTCACAATTTTTTAACATCAGAACCATTTTCCTAGCAAAATACTACTCAAAATAACTTCACAATTGTTTAATATCAGAACCAACTTCCTAGCAAAATACTACACAAAATAGCTTCAAATTTTTTTAATATCAGAACCAACTTCCTAGCAAAATACTACACAAAATAACTTCACAATTTTTTAATATCAGAACCAATTTCCTAGCAAAATTCTACACTGGTACCTCACATTTATTTTCACAATACCAGAATATCCAGGCCTTCCACACATCATGACCTTGACATCTCTCAATGCTGCACAAAACCTATCCTACTGTGATTGATTAATTAAAGCGAAAAATAGTGAGGGTACTTACACAATTGCATACAGCCCACAGCAAGCGGAATGGATGAAGCCCCTGATAACGGTGTGAAGAATGAAGCTGATGATCTGAAGGAAATCAAATAAAAGGAAAAATATAAGCTCTAAACTCTAAATCGCAGTGTTAATTCAGCTTACGTAAGCTATGACTGCAGACCGGTATTGCAATGTGACATGTGACGGACTAATGCTGACTTGTGATGATTTCATAACAGATATGAGTTCTGGATACCGATTCACGAGGTTTTGATTACATTTTTTTCAGCAACAGAGAAAACCTTCTAATGAGTCACCTACCTGAACTTTTAGACTGGGGATGAGAACAGTCACTCCAAACAGCATCAGCAAGGTGTTGGTGATTCCGAAGGCGTAGGCTCCGTTCAGCAGCTTGCGAATCTTCAGGCTCATCGGTGGCTTCTCTGGGTCCGCGATGTTGTCCGACCCGTTGCTGTCGGTGCTCGAATGTCGCGATTTCATCGAGCTGCTAGAACCCCGGCTGGGCAGCCGGCCTTTCTCTTGGCCCTTTACCACCGGCACATGCCCGTTGTCGAAGCTCTTGGACCGGCCAAAGTTACCGAAGATGCTGGGCTTGCTGAAGTCGGGTAGGCTAGTCTTGCGGTCCATTTTGACAATGTCCTTGGTCTCGTCGCTGAATACACAGTCGTCTCCCATCTTACCGCCCAGGGACATGGAGCGCTTGGAGCTGTTCTTGCGACGCTGTTTGCCTTTCAGGGTGTCAAGCGTCTCCTTGATCTTGTAGTCCATGACGGTGCCGATCAGGGGCGAGGTGACCAGGCACATCAGCTGGAGGATGCCGAAGATGTAAATGTAGCTATTGACTGTCAAAGTGAAGAAAGTACAAAGATTTCTGTTAGTTGTTAAAATATTAATTAAGGCCTGTTCATACTTCGCATGAATGCAAATACAAATGGGCTTTGAAATGTCCAAATATTTGTGTTGCAAATAAAAGGAAAGCAATTGACCTCTTGCTAAAAATTGGGACCAATGCTCATATCAAATTCCTTTCACATTTGCAGCCACATTACAGTCAATCAACACAATTATGCCTTCTACTTCAGTGACCCAGTGTCAACTTCCAACAAGGTTGTCCCTACCTGATCATCCAAAATTTTTTTTTAGGATTTTCCTCTAATCTTTAAAACTCAAAACATATCTCCATTATCAGGACAGGAGTCCATCAGTTTCTTTACATCAATATATTTTTCAGACCCAAACTTTACCTGTTTCTGTTTCGAAGTTTGTGATTCCTTCCAGCATGGATTGGAGCGAGCCGATGAAGAAGAGCAGCCGGAGCTGGGTGATGCACATGACCACCAGCGACAAGAGGTAGAGAGGGGTGAAGACGTTGCCGATCAGCGACTTTTCCTTGGTGGATTTCTTGGCCTTCGGCTTGAGCTTGTCCAGGTTGAGCGTCAGCTCCAGATTGTGCCTGGGTTTGTAAAGAGGAAGCTTAGGGTAAGAGGTCGGGCGGTCCTCGGCAGGGAAATGGCGACATCCAAGGGAGAAGGGTACAAGTGTGTCTGCGCAAATTGACCAGAATGTCAAGAGACCTGATTAGCACGGTGCCGGGAAAATCCTGAATCCAGCCCCTCCTTTCCTGCCATCTTGTTACCAATGTTATCAAAGTTAACATTCAAAGATGTAAAACTAATTTCACAATATAGAAAAGTCGTTAAGTGTAATGCTTCTTCTGGCCATTTTTGTTAAAAATACAAATCATACTGAAATGCAAATTTACAAATTGAAAATAATTCATGAGTTCAAGAAAATGATGGCTGCAAGAATAATTTCTAGGGACTTGTCGGGACTTACTGTGAGGAGTAGATCATGCTTCCTTTTCTCGACAGTGGGATGATGGCGGGTGGTTTCTCTTCGTCGACGCTCAGCCTACGTCCCACGCTGGACACGATGGAGTAGAACTGCTTGCCCGTCACTTTGTGGTCAGTCCGCAGTATGTGCCAATGCATGCTGTGGGGAGACGCACACAATCAATTAGGACATGAAAATATAATTTCCCTGAAGATGATTCTGCAAATTTATTTTTCAGGCAGCCAAAAAAACTCTTATCACTGGCGAGAATTTTGTGCACAGCAAGGCCAACATATAATAATACTGACATGCTTAACTATTTTCATATCCCTGTATGTTGTGAAAATAAAATGTTTGAAGTCACATTTCTCAAAAAACTCACCCAAATTTGGCCTCCTCTGGATCAGGGATCGCCTCCTGGGGAACATTGATAATGCAGTTTATGATGACAAACACGGTTGCTATGGCAACGCCGGTGAATATGTATTGCCTTGGGATGCCCAAATCATAGAATATCTGGAAAAGCAAACACAGAAAATTCATTTATTCCAAATGTCACTGAGGTTCCAATGTCAAATTTCATTGTCAAATTTCGATTTCTGTATGAACAAAACAGCACTGTCAATACTGCCAGTTCAATTTCTTGTTAACCACGCTCGCAGTGAGCCAGGCCGGAAATATGAGTGTGCTGTCCGACGGTGATGGCTTCAACCCACCTGGCTTGAGGTCGAGTGAAAAGTAATCCCGCGCCTCGTTCCGTTCTTGTCAAAATAATCCCAGCGTGAACTGGTTAATTAAATAATAAGTACATTTTAGTACAACTTGGCTTTTCTTACCTTCAAAATAAGAAAGAGGATTGCTGCTGAAGCGTAGGAGCCGATACTGAAGCTCATAATGGTGGAACGCTTGGAGGGGAACAAGTTAGCTACCTAAGAGAACAATTAAACAACAAATAAAGTCAGTGAGTGAATTCGTTTGTAATGATTACAATAAAATCAAGAAATGCAGTCACTAGTTTAAATGTTGAGAAATCAAAAGGAAGACAATTTTCTTACCTGGAAGGAGGTGAACGTGATCATGATTCCACCAACTCCGTTCAGAGCGACGGCGGGAAACAGAAACCAGGAGGTCTCCACGGTGGCCCAGCCAAACAACAGACAAGAGACGATGAACATGACGCTGTTTGCAATGAAAAAAATATCCAGAAAACTTAATTAATTATAAATCTTAAGTTCGAAGAATTGGACATTTAACTTTACGCATCTTTTGCACAATTTATGAGGGAAAAATATCTTCATCCATTTAGATTCTTAAAAGTGAACAATCTAATGAGGAAGGTTTGACACTGAAATTTAGAATTTTCATAACTTGGAAATTTCTAGATATTTTCTTTATAGTTATTTCTCTAGTGATTTTTTTTAAAGGTTAAACATTCTTTTAAAGTTTAACCAAGTTGTATTCTAGAATTATGCTGTCAGAAGGAAGTTCATCTTTAAGTATTACACTAAAAATAGCCAGAAAGAATTGTGTCTTTCAAACTTTTTTTTTAAGTCACCACCTTTTAACGGACATTGTTGGACTATGATGGATATAGATTCAGAATAAAAATCTAGGGTAAATCCCTTGAACTTTTTGGACCAAAGTCCCCAATTGATTGCAGAAATCAGTTTTGTAATCACAAAAAAAAAATCATCAATTGAAGTCGTTACGTAAAAAAGAATCCTAAAATAGTTACGATTGACGCAGACAAGATGTAGACAAAAAGCTAAAATCAACTGAAGAGGTCACGCAGATAATTCACAAACTCTTAATCGATAAAATAAATCTTTGCAAACAACAGCTGTTACGGATGAACCCTTGCAACCTCTTGTGTTATCTTTTTTTTTTTATCTACATGTAAGAATTAAGCATTTATGTAAACAGATTTCACAAAAACTTTAGTCTACAATCTTGCCGCGCTATTCCTTGTCTTTAAACCTTGAACTTTGACTAATTTGCAAACCAACTTTTTCAGAAATTATTAGAATGTCAAAATCTGGAAATTCAGATATTGCAATCATAAATTGTAGCTATTGTTTAATGCTGATACGCTATTGCTGATCAACTTCAACTCCCAAATAACATCTTAAAAACCCAGAATTTCAAATATAAAAAATTTTCAGAGAGCACAATAAGTAATACTACTGGTTCTAAACTGCAAGCTAAAAAAGTACAGATCCAGCTAAGTTCTTATCTTTTATACATTAAAAAGTTACGATTTAGGTCTCTTTGTCTTTTACCTAAAATGTTTCATATTTGTCTGTTTTCTGCTTATGCATGATATTTATCTACTCAGCCTTTTCTGTAAGTAAGTAATATTTGTTTATACGCTTTTACCTCGAACTTTTCTTGTGCCAAATTTAGCAGCATATTGAACAAATTTGTTAAAAGTAATTAATTGAATAATGTGCTCCTTAATTTTACAAGATTAATGTGGCAGTACAACATACAATTATCAATCATTTTAAAAAAGTGCAAGTTATATTAGAAATCAACTTGCAACAAACAGACTACTGGTAACGAAGTTAACAAATTTGTGAGAGTGGAGGGGGAGGGGCATGTGAGGTGGGAGGGAGGTTAGCAAATCTACTTACGCTCCGAGAATTCGAAGTATTCTTGAGCCAAACTTGTCCATGGCCAGTCCGATGGGGAACGTCAGCCCACTGAGAAGGAAGGACCCCACGGTAAATGCCAGGTTGAGCTTCCCGTCCTGCTCTGCACAGCGCGGGTACCCGTTGACAAAGGGGGACAGGGTGGAGCTGGCGTTGCCAAACGTGTCGTTGTTACTGTCTTGTGCCGTCGAGTTGCCATTGTCGTCTGATATCATGTCATCCTCTGCAAAGAGAAAAACACCCAATCATTCCAATTTGTTCATGCAAATTAATGGATATTTCAAAAGCTTTTTTGATATCAACAACTTTTTCAGACATTGTCTAACAAATCATGGTTCTTTTCTTAACACTTATCCGTGATGGTTTTTCTCTTAGCACTTAGGTACATGTACTGAATTGACCCAAATCCAGCAACACCCAAATCAGCAGCCTGCAAATAAAAAAACTGGCTGTAAGAACAAAAGGTCTTTTATTCAACACCAAAACTATCAAAATTCTTTCTCTTTAATTTTGTTGAATTTAGCACAATTAGGACTTGCATGGGGTTTTACCCTCTATACGTCTTCAAATTACCTTTGCAACTTCAAATATCACACACTTTATTGAAACTGTCCTTTTATTTGCACCAAAGTACAAGAAATACTCATATTTTATGAACAATTGCTTAAGAATAAAGGTGTTTGATTAAAAGAACATTGCTTTTAAAATATCAAAGCTTTAAACACTCCAAAGAAATAAAAAAAAAAAGATTTTCAATCGGTTTTGTGTGTAGAGTTATGTAAAGCTTTTGAATAACAATCACTTATTTCAACGTAATCTTAAAAGTGGTTTAACATGATCTTTCAAACAAGGTCAAAAGACAAACTTCATTTGTTAAATGGTGCGTTGATTTTTCATGTAAACATTGCTTGTTTACAAAATATTCTGAATACATACATTAAAAAAAATCCCAAGCTATTCAATTTAGTTGCTATTAGCCTAATATCAATTTGTTGACAGCATATCTGACAGCATACAAAATTGACAAAATCGCAATAGATTAATTCCTTCCAATCAAAACACATTTAGCAAACATAAAGGAAAAGATCAACCCAACAGAAACAAGTGGCATTGTATTTAAAAGAGAATTGATCCTTCATTAGCATTAGATTTTCTCTCCTAATTTGCTTTGCCCAGGGGCCGGCCAGTATTAAAAGCATGCCATGCGTAAAGAAAAAAACACTTCCTCATGTTTATTCATGAGCGCACACACACATCACAGAGTTCTGCCGCCCCGCTCAATACAAGCCTCCCCGTTATTGGCTAGTGATTTAGGCCTCTGTTGCTATGTGGATTGACAGGCGCGCTCTGATTGGCCCGAACGGATAAGTGGGTAACTATGCTGATAATGCATCTGGTTAATGATTGGAAGATGCGGGGGGGGGGGGGGGGTGTTTATTGACATCGTTATGTCCACCATTATTTTGTCCAGCTGAATGACCATTGACCTCGACGGCTGTAGCATAACAGTACAAGGTCTGTTCCTAGCTCTATGATAATAACCAAACTAAAAAGATATGACCCATGATATAACCATGAAAGCATGGTTCCTTCCTATAACCCTCACAAGCAACCCCCATAAATATTTCAACCCTGGAATATCTTCCGTCCGCCTTTTTCAGTTCTGTTGTTTTTCCTTGTCCTCATTTAAATGTAAAAACGTACCAGCAAGAAATCTTGTTTTTCCTAGTCCTACAGGTATCATTGACTTTTTGTTTTGCAAAACAAAATGTACAAGATTTATTCAGCTCCCCACATTTCCCTCAAAATCAGCTAACTTCTTTGTAGGCCTATATAATTATGGTTTACCGCTGTGGCTTAACCATAGAGCTCTATGGTTTAACAATGGTTTTAAATACAATGCAACGGTGTAAACCTTTTGATTGTTGATGACAGGGTGCGAGCCTTTGATCACTATTCTTGCAAGTCTTACGAAATTGTTGCAAAAAAACCGCAAAATTACAAAAGTCTGTCACAAAATGCCAAGCTATGTGAAAAAAACACAATGCGTGACAGAATGAATACAACTCCGTTAGGAATTTAATTGGTATATGCACCAAGAAGCACTACTTCAGTACTGCGTAAAATATATCCGGAAAAATCGCGAGTGTGAAGGAGCAGCACAACAGGGTTATGCAGGCGCGCGCAGTTGTTAAATAACACCCCTCCCAAGGGAAATGGTACAGGCCACAGCTGATTGTATGCAAATCGGAGTCTTGTTCTGATCAGAGTATATGATGTCACTTGTTCCACGAGTTTGTACATTGACAGCTGTTGATATAATATATCTTATACAAACAATGCTTCAACATTGTTCGGATTTTGTGGACAAAAGTTCTCCAAAAATTTCTTCATTTCTTCAAGATATGCAAGAGACTACAGTATGTGTTGACAAAGAATTCTATACAAACGATGCAACATTGTTTGGATTTTGTGGACAATATTTCTTCACATAATTCGTCATGATGTATCCTTTCTTCAAAATGTAAAATGCAAGAGACTTCATGTGTTGGCAACATAATTCAAATGGCCACAACGATTTAAGTTTCCGGTGACTTTTTAAATGTTATTAAGCCCCTGTAACTGCTGGTACATGTACTTCCAAAGCGAACCCATAAATCCTGGTATAAAAACGTAAACAAGCACCAGTATAAACAACATCTCACGGCTCGCAAAATAAATTGGCAGGTCCCAGGGTCCCAACAAGTCTTCTGACGTCTGATTATGTAATCAAAATCCCTTCTTGTAAACTGCAGGCACCTTGCGCTCTTTCTCTCCTTGTTGATAAACACGCTCGGCCTTGGGAACACACGCTTCTTTCAAAGAAAACACGGTTCGTTGAATTTTGTCGTTGGCACTTTTTTCTGAAGCACTTCGCATACGCCTGTGCATTGCTAGTCAAGAACATTGTCAATTTGTCATTCGGACCTATCTCTTACAGTATTTCAATTAAGAAGTTTAAAAGCACAACTTGAATAATTCCAACGAAAACAAAGATCAGACATGGCAGATGTACCGAGTTCCATTTTCAATAACTGAAAATAAAGAATTACTCATCCGCAATCTAATCCAATACTCAAGTCCGGAAAGAGGGATTTAAACATCGAGTTGAAAATATAAATTCAAGCAGATTCAAACTATTTTTGTTTCTACCTTATTCTCAGAAAGCTTGGAAAATAAACTCCTCAGCGTTTAATTTGAATAAGTATGTTTTCGCAAAAGTAACCCCTTACATGTAGTACCAAAATATTTTCAAAATAGTTATTCGTAGGCCGAAAAATGTCAGTGCAAGTCTGCACAATGTTTTGACAACTAATAAAGACCAAATCACACTTACTTGTACAGACGTTACTGTAGAATCCCTCGGAGAGCAGAACGGGAAGCAATGAGCTCCAGCCAAGGAGCACGGCCGAGAAGAAGAGGTTCTCAACGACCATCGTGCCCACCAGCCAATAACGCCTCCTCTCTGCTGTCTTTAGCGTTGGCGCCATTTTAAAAACTGAAGTAGATTTCTCCTTTAGTGGGAAAGTAACCGAAATCTTTCCAAAGAGCACCAACTAGCTGGCTTCACAGCGCAGACTCTGAAAAAGAAATGCATACATATTTATTTATTACATATTTTCAAACCAAATTCAGTTAAATTGCGCTATAGGTAAATAATGGTTGATTATTGCGCCATGAAAGTTTTACCAAAGAGACTGAAAGTTAGTGCGTGGAAGTGCCGACTTACTTGCAGAAAACCTGATAGCAACTTTCGGCCGAAAGACCCACTTCCGCCAAGTTCATCTGCTGTCTGATTTTTCTTTCGTGAACCAATGTTGTGAATAGGTCTAGCGCTCGTATCTACATCCCTTTGATGTACATGTATATGAACATGATGAATGATCATCTTTTCATTTTCATCTCACGTGCACCGAATGCGTGCTCTCCTACATTGCATCAATATGTACACGCGGAAAGCATGCGTGCTCGTTCAATAATAGCTCCGTGGTACTGTGGCATTCAGAGAGATTGCATCATGCATTGCCAAGTTTAGTCTTCATTGTCATACAAAATACGTAGTCCGCTACTGTTGCATTTGGGTTGTGATTTTGACGGGATATAAATTTGTTACAGACGATTGTGACAAGACAACTTGCAACAGTAAATCAGGCTGCATTATTCCCAATACGCATCTTAATTCACTGTCAAGTTCTGTAAAGCTTGTCAGAACGGTAACGAATTGTTTAATACAAAGCAAAAATTCATTGTATAATTTACAAACAAAACAATTTCATCCATCGTTTGCCTTCTTTTCTTAAAGCAAATGCTACATAAACTAATTATTCAGGCGAATATATAGTTTTCCGTAAAAATTCAAAAGGGTAGAAAATAATAGGTGAATTTTGAATTTTGTTAGCATCTAAGCAGTCCAAAGTCATGTACAAAACGTCTACCACATCGCACATATCAACCCGTCCTGACATTGCTTTTTTAAGTTCCAAATGCCGGCTGCATCGTGGACAATAAACAATTTACTTCACTCGAGTTGTTACGATCTTCATTATATCATGATGATGCCAGTCTTCATCTGTTCATTGCATCTGATGAAGTAGTTGTAGCTACGAAAGCTTTAATATGCACACTTCACTCTAGTCTAGTTAGTCACTATTTTGAAGTGCTACCTTTCTTTTATATATTTGATTTTGCCTGACTTAAAAGTTTAAGTAAAACACGGCTGCCCACCGCTTTTTGAACTTCATTATGAAACTGATGATGATGATCAGAATAGTTAAGCTAAAATTTAATTATTTCAACAACGAGATCAGAAAAAGCGGCCACTTTTTTTTCTTCAAAATCCGTTCATTTCTTCACAATGGACATCTTAACAGAGCAAGTAACAGACTGTCCATCCACGGTTTCCCCGCTCTACTGCTTCGAGGCCGCAGCAGGAACATCATCCGATCACCGGGGAGGAACTCATTATGATAATGGCATCTCATCTCATCACTTGGCGTCGCCTAGGAGCGAATCAGCTGATCGTACCGATCACGCCAGGGATGCCCGCTGCTAGCTCCGCTACATACAATCATGCCATCTTTGTCCGAGCCGATGGAACAAACAAATATTTCAACTAAATAAAAATTTTACTTTGCTTTACACAAAATACATTTAGTACGAAGACAGAGAGGATGGGCGTCTTTTTTCCTCCACGGTTGAAAACGAGCGCAGGCATGTAGGTTGACCAATATTCTGTGATGTTGCGCAAGGTCCAAACCGCATTCCTTTGTGTCGCGAGGAGCTCAAAAAAAATTCCATGAAATTTCTCATCAAAGAGAAAATATTATAAAAACTTACCTATAAATGCTCTCAGTAATATTATCCGCAGAAGGCTGGGCTTGAGGGTTTTCTGAGGGTTTTCGGCAGTGAAGAAATCGGTCCTTATCCTTTCTCAACTCGCAAGCGAAGGCAACCGTTTGACAGGAGGCGATCCTTTTATTTGCAGTGGTTGTGCCCTCCTGCTATCAGCTGTTGCCCCATAACCTCCATCCTCCAATCAGCTGTTTGTTGGGCACGACTACTCTGTTACTGGGGGTGATCTAAAATCGGCCCCTAATTCAATTTCAATAATTTGGTAACTGCGTATAATACACGTCAACGAATCGAACCACACAAATGTTTAATTACAAATCCATGCAACTAACATACATAACCTCATAATATTGTCACTCTACCGTTGTTTAAAACTTTGTCGCTACCCTTTGAAAAACTTGGTTGCTCCTTGTGGTTTTAATTGCGAAATCCCATTGCAGATATCCTCGCAACACACTCCCCCGTATATAATGATATGTCGTAAACAACCTGGACACGACTATTATCTAGTGGGGAATTCTAACGGGGTTTCCCTTGTGGCGGATACAATGGGATGGCTCATACTCTCCCTAAAAAAATCCAAAGATACCGCTCTAAATGTCTTGTTTTCTGAAATATTTCTAGATTTCATGAATCCTGCTTGTTCATCTACTACACACTCCCTGAAAAGTCTGAAGGCAGTGTCCAAAATTTGAAACGAGAGCGAATACAGAGAAGAATGGAATTCTGAAGAACACCCCTCCAAAACAGACCGTCCCAAAATATCGCACGATACCAGCGATGAAGTCATAAATCGGTTTCTTTTTCGAACAAAGACCTCTGGTACTCGAAATTATAGACCATTTTGCAATGCTTCATTGTGTGCATTTTCGACCGCGAAAACATGTTTGGACAGATAATTTATATTTTTAAATAATGAATGACTGTAGTAGGGCAAACCTTTGATCAATTTTTATGCAAAAAGACGAAGATAAGTATGACTATGAGTAAGCTGTCAGATTTTCGGGGCGTTGCAGAGGAATGCCTAACCGCACTGCGTGTGATTCAGCCGGGGAAGCCCATTCTACATTCACGGTGTCTTGCGGTTTTTGCGGCGGAATATTAATATCTCGGTTCAAAAATTCCATGTGGACCAGTCGTAACTTGTAAAATATTTTGCAAAGCTGTATGGCAATGTTTGAGCTAAGACAAATTACTTATTCGTAATAAAACAGACAAGCAGAGAGTTTCAAATAAATTGTCAAGCCATTTGTTTTTAGTGTTTGAAATTTGGAAAATCTTGTGAAATTTTGCTGCCGTATTCAGAAAAGAAATTGAAGATACAATTGTAAAGTTCAAATGAATTAAGTGATGAGCAAATAAAGTAAAAACTAAAGGCATCAGAAATGCAAGAAGTCATTTGGTGTTCGTTTTGTGATTTAAAGTTTCTAATTATAATAAACCATGGAGGAATAAACCATGAATAAACAAAATTCAATGATTCAACCAATGAAGTATGTTTTTGTCATTTTCACGATGAACCTCGTTGTGTGCACACTGCACAGAAACCAAGACAACCCCATACTTCTTATTGCTAGCCAAAAACTGAAGGAATAATCGTGAAGGTCCAAAGTATTTGATCTATTTTTTTCTCCATTTTTTCTACCAACCTTCGGCGGATCGAGTTCGGCCTGGCATTGCGCAAGGGTAGCTCAATCATTTCTGAGGATATCCCCACGCATAACGGGGCCTTTCATGCGTGCGGACAAAAGACGATTTTGATGGCTTTTGTTGAGAGCGTGCGCGTGACCGACCGGCCGACCCGTCACATGACTCGTAACACAGTTGTTGACAAGTGCTGTTTACTCTTTTGTGGTGTGCTACTGCGGTACTATCTCGGTCGTTATATGGAAATTCATCAAACCGTTCATTAATGCACGCACTTGGCCGGCCACATCAAACTGAAGCTGGCTGACCTTGTAATCCACGCTTGTTTGGAGATCAAAATAATTGCCATAAGCATAGTTTACCTAATCATCTGTATCATTTTAAAAAATTTCTGGGTGTAAACGAAGTGTAACGAGTTACAAACAAAAGTAATGATGAAACTGCATTTAGGCCTATCAAGCGATTTATAAAAATGAGAGTTGACTTCTTTTGCTAGCAGTTTGCATTTAAGATTTCATTCTGTTAAATGCTATGTAACTTTTTACGGAGTTGCAGTTGGGGGGGGGGGGAGATTGCAAATAATACGTACGAACAAGTGCTGGGAACAAAATGTGAACTAATGAAGTACAGTTAAATTGAAGTTTCATTGAATCCTTATTATTAAGGTTGTTGAAAATTAACACCGTACAGGTCTGTTTTTGGTGAGTTTGCAGTGTACAAACATAATTGGACCCTGGTTAAACCGGTGTGGTCATTTTTCGAAAAAGTGGTTCCTCGCGATCTTGTTAATATCTTTTTAAATAAAATCCAGCTGTAATTAGCTTTTGTAAATTTTGATGTTTTGTGCATCATTCTGAATTAAGCCAGTAGGACGAAGCGGCATCATGAGATATATGAAGTAAAGCACAGGCCTACATTCATAATTCCTCTATTAGGATTAAACATAAAATGTGACGTAAACACAATCTTTCGAAGACGGTAATGAAAAAAAAACCCGTGTACCTGTTGTGCTGGCAGAGCGGTCATGTCACCACAAGACGTCCCAAACTAAGAGTCACCCAGTTGCAATTAATGACAAATACTATGTAACCTAATTTGTGACTTAAGTCGTATGATTTGACATACGGACGACCTGAGATTTGATTTGTGACTCATTTACTAGTTACATCTCATTCATTTTTCCCAATTTATTCTCCCCCACTGTTTGTTTATTTACTGTTTGTGTGTCCATACGGTTTTTACCGGGGTAGAGAATACGACTGAGGTCAAAACGTTCTTCGCAATTCACTTAATGAAAAAGTTAATAGGTGATACGTTTCACTGCGGAGGAATACATTGTATGCAAATTGTTGCCAGTGCACGCTAGGCTACAGAGAAAGTATAATGATACACCCAAGGTTATTCAACGCTTCGACTGCGCACGCGCAAATGGGCACCCAGCATGAACCAAACGAAGATTGGCTATAGTTTTGTGATTTTTCAGGAAAAACTAATAACTTGACTTAAGTTTAACCATTGCTGAGTGAGCTGTAACTCCTTGAATTCCTTGCTCTCTGTTCAAACATAGACAAATTACCAAGATCTTTGGTACATTCTGTTAAAGAACAAACTGTTAAGCGATGAATAACTAGCTCTGGTGAAAGTAGCGCCCACGTTTTGGCCATAACTTCTTGCACTTCTTGCAATCAGATACAAAAAACAAAAAAACACCGATCCTTTTCTTTAAAGGCAAATGTTTTTGGGTTGGACCTTTTTTGGGTCACCCTGTATATAAACAACCCGAATAGTTAGGCTGTAAAAAGTCCATTGAGGCCCTGCATAATTATTAAATAATGTTAAGTAAAGTAAAACTCATCAGGAAAAAGCATGCATATGAAGCGAAATATACAATGAGCATAAATATACACCAGGTTTTGAGAAATATTACAGAGATAAGGCTCTGTACAAGACACAAGCTCAATTTAAACAATACATTATAAGGCATGAATTGTTAATTACGGGATCGGCGATAACCCTGCAATTAAGACCCCTTTGAGAAAAAAACACGGGAAAATTCCCGAATACGGCTAATGCTCCAGATTTATACTTAGCAACCAAGCAAGTTAAACTCCGCAGATTTTGAACTCGAGGTGAGTAAAAAAAACCGAAACACAAGTGTTGGGGACTATTGTTGTATTGAAGTTCTCCATGTAGCACTTTTAAAATACAGGACATGAAAGCCCAATTTTTTAACGCTTTCTTTTAGGACAGGAATCATTCAAATAATGCATGTACTTTTCAAGTTACGGAATTTTAAACAGAACCACCGTTCTAAAGTTCTGTCCAAGGATCACAAAAAAAGGTGTGCGTTCTTTCAGCAAAACGAAAACAATTCACACACCCATATGTGATTTTTTTTCGTTTTGCTGAAAGAACACTGAACTTTTTTTGTGATCCGTGGACAGAACCTTAAACAGGCGGTTGTGTTTAAAATTCCATAACTTGAAAAGTACACGGATTTTGAATTATTCTTGTACTAAAAGAAAGCTTATGAATGGAGCTTTTATATCCTAGATTTTGAAAGTGCTACAGGAAGAATTTCACTAAAACAATGGTCTCAACATTTGGGTTCCTTTTTTTTTTACTCACCCTGTATATTAGTGGTTGTCGGTTCACAATAATGCTAGTGACTGCATGGTTCTCAGATGATTGCTTAGCACATTATAGTTAGCAGAGAAATGTTTTTTGTTTCTTCTGCTAAGCATGCAGGTAAATGGGACAAACAAACATTACTGAGGGTTAATTGGTATGAACGTGACAAACGTGGAGGCCACAGTTAATACGCTCGATAACATCATTGGCATGTTGTTTAAAGAAGGATTGGGAACTGTGTTGACCACGTCAATTCAAGGTTCGTTTGGTATAAACAAATAAGTAAGAAGAAATAAACAGTGATTAAAAGTCAACCCATTGATCCAAAAAGCATTTTAATTGATTGAATGGTTTAACCTTCCTTTTCCATGTTTGATTTGTTGTAACTGTTGTGCATTGTATTTTATTCATAAGAGTTGCGTCGGGGTGAAGTAAATTCAATATACATGCAGTGTTTTGTCCTTCACCGATGCGTATGTATATTCAGTGTTGTCCTGCGTGATTGTGAGAAAAAAAATCACTCAGGTGGGACTCGAACCCACGACCTCCTGCTTATAGTGCAGACGTCTTACAACGCGACCACTGTCGAGCTTGGCTGGCTGGTTCGATATAGCATCAGGTATACCGCAACTAATCTATTTCAAAATATTGTATTTTACTGCGGCACTATCGTGCACCTCATGCCCTAATGTCTAGTTAAGTTCATCCATACAGGAAAGGTATTTCCCAGTACTTTTCAATGTAATAAAAAAAAAACCCGTTTCCCATCGTGGGTCAATCACACGTCATCCAGTCTCAATTCAGCCAATCGACAATGAATCAGCGCATCCCTGTGTCTTATTGTTTATCTTGTTTTACTCATCGGAAGACCTCACTTGCGATTGACCATGGATGAATATTCCTCCATGGATTGACTTACGATTCGACTTTGCAATTGATCTGTGATTGACAACTCTGCAATTGGTCACTTTAAATATGTAAATCCGTGGGGAACCCTTAAGTTTGAGCACCATCCATTGTTCAACTGAGCCCGCACGCTCCGCAACAACTTCTGACAGGGGTGCATGCAATTCTTGTGCGACCCCGCACACCAGCCAATCGGAGTCGACTTAAGAAATTGTGACGTCATTTCAAGCATAAATTCGGAATAACCTCTTGATTGAACAATTTGCTGCCATGTTTGTGTAATACAACAACGAGTTACGGAAGACCCGATAGAAGGCGCCCGCTGAATGGTCAGAATCTGGAGGTCAAGACGCGGTTTTGTTTTTAATAAGTTTTGAATACAAGCGGCTATTAATGTAGAAGCGAGTGGAACAACACTACTGAAAGGTGCATAATGGCACAAAACAGACAAAAAGATACAAAATGTGCCTTGCATAAAACAATCTAAGCTTTTGCCCTTCACCTACGTAAAGACGGGTTCGCTCGTCCGTAAACTCACTGGCCGGGCATATTTTGTAATCTCCTTGAACTATGATATAGAAAATTATCTGGCGTCCCTCGTAAAAAAAGAACACCCTCCAAATTATCAATGCATAATGCTTGGCTTGCTGAATGAGCCACGTGGAGGATTTACATAAGGGATTAACAGTTATATTATAATCGTATAAGTTACTGATTACAGTTATATGTTAAACGAGGATGGGAATGGCGGTCTGTCAATCATGGGAAGATTTCAACACAAAGTTAGTCCACTGAACTTTACTGTATCCAAGACTGTGACTAGATAAACCACGTGGAAATCACCTTGATTTTGTAACGGTTGACATTTTACCTTGGAAAGGTAAAGAACGACATAATGGCACTTTTTGGTACGAAATCAGAAATTTAAAGCCTTGGCCTATATCACAATCTGTTCAACCCACGAAATGTGTATGAACGCTTACATTATCAACACAATTTCTTCTTGAAAGTGATACACGAAAATAAAGTCTTTGAAACAAAATGACCGAATTTGTCAAAAAGGCAGTTTCAACATTGCAAAAACACCCCCCCCCAAAAAAAACTTTCAAAGTTGTTCAACCGCGGTTGCCCCCATTCTGAAAGAAGAAACAAAAGGTACGTTTTCCCTCACGATTGCACAACCAAAACATAGCTGATTGATTTTTTTTTTTAAGAAAGGGAAAAAGAAAAGATATACTAGCGTGCTGCACAATTACCTTTTCGTATAGTTTTTTTTGAAAGGCCCATTGTAACATAAATGTTTAGTGTAAGAATTTGAATAATAGACTCATTTGCTCTTTCACCACAGCATTTCAATACGAAGAAAACATTCGCCTGTAAAGAAAATTACCCATTTTGTGAACAAAAGGATAGAAAACACCTAAGAAATCTCGTTGAATTCACTCTCCACACGTACGCCCCCGAAGGTTCATAGGGCCACGTTTCGAGATAAATCTTTATGATCAAACATGTGGCTGGGCAATGGTCTATCGTAAAGTCCAAAAACAAATACAAAAGAGAGATATTTAGTTAGGCCTTATCTATGGCTTGATGATTGTTGTCGACAGCAAAACAAACGGAACACGTCACATAAAGTGTCAACAAAAGTCGGGTGATCCTCGTTTGTTTAAAGTTTTTTCAACCCCTTTCAAACCAAGCTAAAATGGCCTTTGTTTGATTCGGTTGTTGGGATCAATGTTGACCAAGTTCATTGTTGAAGACCGTGTTGTAAGAAAACTATTTCGGTACAAGAAAGCACGATTTGGAAATGCCCTGTTTGCTTTAAAAATAGCAGGTTAAAAATAGTTTACCCTTGTTGTCGCGTAACATATTAACCAAAGACAAACTTTGGTTAAGAAACATCCCTGTGCTTTTGTTTTTCTCTTTCCTTCGTTTTTACTATTTTCTTTCATCAATTTTATCCTGGTTTTCCTCATTACCAGTGTTGTAACGAGTCACTGAATTTTGTGACTCGAGTCACGTCATTTTAAGGAAGTGACTCGAGTCAAGTCGAGTCATTAGATCAAGAAGGTCGAGTCGAGTCGAGTCACAGTGTGTGGTCGAGCTGAGTTGAGAAAAATTTATGCTTGAGTCAATTCGAGTCACTGATATTTGAACACCATCTAATAAATTACAGAATTGAAGAGGGAACACAAGGCACCAGTTTTTAATGAAGACCCAAAGGCTTCAAATATGCTGGAAGGTACCCAATAGACAGCTTCTGCTGGACGTTTCTTGCAAAGATCAGTGCCAGCAGTTAACAAGAAGTGAAACTTCGTTTTTATCTCTGGTTTGGCTTCGGGTCTGCAAATGTTCAGCCGAGCATAAATTTAGGCCAACATTATACTTGAAATCCTCCACACTGCTCCAGGATGTCACTTGCTCTGCCACAACATATTGACAGTGATTGTTGGAGGATTTTTCAGGATTGAGGCAGCGATCACCCCTCCAAGGACCCACATTCAAGAAATAACGGAGGATTTTGCAGGATTGAGGCTGTATGCTATTCTTTTACATGGAGGCAGTTGGAGGATTTTGCAGGATTGACTTTGCATCCTAGCAAAAAAGCCTAGGGAGCTAGGGTTAATGATGCTACGACACAAAGCTAGAAGCTATTGTTCCATAATCTACTCTGTAACACCATTGTCAAGAAACTATAAACTGTCGAGTGCCAAGCTATCACGAAATCACAAGTGTAGGCTACGTGCGGTGCGTGTACGATCTTGGCCACTGGCCAACCAAAGATTGGTAAACACTGTTTTTTAACAAGATTTGAGTAAACTCGATAAGTCAAGAACCCCGTAAAACGAAAGACGACATTATTTTGTTTGGTTAGGATACCAAAATTTCCCTCAAAACCACCTCCAGTTTTCCGGGTGAACACGTATTTTTGTTAGATACCGTTACTCCTGAAGTTCATTGAGTGTTATTTTAACAGGTGATAAAATATCTGCGATCAAGTACTCTGGGCACAGTGCATGCCCCATTATTTACTCCGAGCTGCAAAATGATACACAAGTTTTTGTTTAAAATTTGCACTTTGAGCAACAAACAGAAAATGACAATCAACACCAACACTAATTTATCAAGGGTAACAACATGGGTCAATGTTTGGTAACATTACTATGGTAACACAGGTGATAAATTACTGATTAGGACCTCATATATTTTGCCTTCCTTGAACAATGTCCACATTTTCTGCCTTCTTTGTACAATGTTCTTTTATGATACATTGCAAAGGAGATTGTTTTGGCAGAGTTCACAGATAAATTACACAAAATAGTCAGGGGCCTATAACTTTAGTCTATGTAGCAGATTCACTGATTAATTAGGCAAGACAACCGCCTCTAGACCTCTAGATTGTGACCATCAGCGAGCGCATTCTATATCGGGCTTCGGTCATTCACCCGTTGCGCATCATAATAGACAATGGATAAAAAATAATCCGTGTCACGCACTCTGTATCATGTTACGCGATATGCACCCGGCTATTGTTGTATTACAAAACATTACATTCGAATTGACCAATCAAACCATTTAGTCCTGATTAGGGAATGAAATGACGTCACGCTTTAGTAAAGTCAACTCCGATTGGCTGGCGCGCGGCTTGCATATATCTGCATGTCTAGAAATACCAGACGTTATACAGGAGACTTGCTCGGTGGATAACGGGCGATACTCAGACTACTATAACTTAGGATGCCACTATAATTCTCCATTGTCCATTTAGGAAACAAATATCAAACATTTTAGCCAAAAAATCCAAGAAGCACAGAACAGAATGCACGACTCGATAATGGTACTTGGCAAATGTAGGTGAATATCGGGTCTATAAATTGGTCAATGTGTTGTACTGTGGTAGATTTTGACAAACTCAAAAAGGTCATTAGCAATTATTCTAGGGTTTTACTGGGGTGAGGGAACATCTCAAAACTTCTTTGCACATTGTGCATTCCCAATTTAAGAACAGCGCATATTTCCGATTACAACAGGTATTATTTCTAGTGGAACTTTTCGAGCGATCCATGATTTTTTATGGTCACAAACAATCAATGTTTGCAGACCCACCCAACAATTAGTCTGAGTATCATCCGTTGTCCAAAGCGGCCCTCTCCATAACCAATGGGCCTTATTCACGAGTCGGCCATATTGAATTGAAAGTTAGGTAAAATGTTAATTTTTTTGAACTTGCGAAGAGAAATGAAAGCAACTTAATTTATAATCAATTCCAGTCTGCCTCAATAAATAATTTTAAAGTTGTAATTTAAAATTCCCTAATATTTAAAGCCAAATTAAAAATAAAATGACAGTAAAATAGGCAGAATCTGGAGGTCAAGACGCAGTCTTGCTTTACATAACTAATCGCCGAATCTGCTTGTATATCATAGACTCTTGCAGTGCAAGAGGATATTCCAAAGACTACCCAACAATTTGAAAGACACAAAAAGAGACATGTCACACCGAAATTTCATAATGTACAGTTTAATGCATGTCTGCAAACATTTCCTTTCTTAAACGAAACAAATCTTTTGAAGAAAAAAAAAGTTCTCCTAAATCTTGTGTTTTCAGGTGCAGAACCATAAAATGATCCATTTCTTTTGTAAGTGAAGAGATTTTTATTGTGGGTCGTTCATTTTAAATTAACGAAGATTACAATTGCTCCAAATCTAGAATGACTCTACACTGAAAAAAAACCCACCAGTCCTGTTATGAGTTTTTGGCAGATAACTTTATCCCACTGTAGTTTTTTTTCCTTCATATTTTCAATTTCAATGCAGTAAACCCCCAAACCCTCCTAAAAAGGAATATGTTGAATAGGTACAGAAATTCTGAATTTCAACTTATAAAAAAGTGTCACAAACAGGTCCATATTTCAAAGTGGAAATTTTGCAGTATCAAAGTTATGTTGGTTTTTAAATTAACCTTATCCGAGTACGACAACACAGTTCATTGTCTGTAGCACGGATAGCAAAAAATATATTTGGTGGTCTGCAATGGATGAAACGACACTTTGAAATATCTTGGGTCTAACATTTAACATTCCAAAGTTGACAAAACAGTTTGGTGACTTAAGCAAAATATGACCTGTGGCAATGTACGAACGGTGGTATCAGACACAAATGGTGGCGTTGTGACACCACCAACATTAACGGCAAGCTGAATTTTGTGTTGAATTCTTGATTCTGAGCAGAAAGATCAACTGTTCGGAAGAAACAAGTTGCTTCAATGAGTGCTACATTGGATTGTATAGCTACCCAGTTTTATTTTTTTAAACAAACGTAGAGTACATGTAGTTCATTTAAGTTAAAGCAGTAGGTTTCCTTGCGAAGGTTTCCTTGCGGACATAATGTTGGTTGTTAATATATACAATGTAGTTGTGAGCTTTGCTCAATTCTTTTGATTAGTTAAGATTTTTTTTTTAAACCAAGTCGGAGAAGTTTATAACAAGACTCTGCAAGAGCAGTAGGTTTCATTTGTCAGTTCTTAAGCTTGCCTGGACAACACGTTGGACATCAATGTTGACTTCAATCATCATCTTCCTCTTCTTCCTCATCGCTGCCGCCAGATGCCTCCTTCTCCTCCTCAGAACTGGCTGGATCACTGGCAACTTCTTCAGAAGCATCTGACTTGGCGCCCGACTTGGCATCCTACCAAAAACAATCCAAGAGATATTTTTAAAACCATGTATCCTCAAGTAAAATGAACCGAGGAACTTCACTATTAGACTGAACACAGACTCTAAATATCAGGCCATGGCGGCCATTTAAAGTCTGATACCGTCGATTGTCAGGTTGACCTACGACATAGGGGCAGACCTGTTGCCAAGGGGGGGGGGGGGGGCAGACCTGTTGCCAAGGGGGGGGGGGCAGGGGGGCCCAGGGGGGCCGGGGGAGACCCCTGTGACAAGCAACTGCTCCCCCCTCCATTAGCAAAAACCATAAGCGTAAAAAATGTATATAAGTGTGTTTTTTCTTGTGGTGTGCCCCCTAGTTTGTACTGTCCCCCCCCCCCCCTAATGCCCGAAGCTGGTGACGGGCTGCATAGGGGTCAACCTTATTTAAATATTTACGTGGGTGCCAATGTAGTGCTGCATTAAGCGTGATGCATGAGTGTGCAGTAGAAGTAGGTCGATCAAACACTAGGGGAGGTGGCACAGCCAAGACGCAGAGCAACCAAGAAGATATTAGAAGCAGGAGGCCGTTGCCTGTCCTCATTCACGCATGTGTCATGAGAGCAGGTGTCCGGTCTGCTTCACTATGACATCAGATGATGGAACCATAACCCAGGCATCATTTGGATGTCAATGTGATTATTGACCTGACAGTGTGACTGTGTGACTCAACTTCTATTTCCACCATGTAACTATACAAAGTTAAGCTCCATGATCCGACCCTGGTCAACCAATGGACTATGGGTTTTCAGTCCCTGCCTGGTTCTGATTAGTCTGAGTATTCATCCCTTATCCACGGAGCCAAAACTCCTATATAACGTCTGGTATGTCCAGCCAATCGGAGTCGACTTTACTAAAATCGTGATGTCATTTCATCCCCAAATCAGGACTGAATGGTTTGATTGGTCAATTCAAATGCAGTGTTTTGTAACACAACAACAGCCGGGCGCATTATCGCATAACATGATACAGAGCGCATGATACAGTTTTTTAATCCATTGTCTGTGACACGCAATGGGTAAATGACCCGCTGACTGGTCAAAATCTAGAGGTCAAGAGGCGGTTGTCTTAATCACCGAATCTGCTCACATATCATAGACCAAGGCATTCACCGTGGTCTATTTTATAGACTAGGTTTTGATGGTTTCCCTGCAAGTTTTCATTCTGAGGTTTCCTTTTTCTCGTCCCTGAAACTATAAATTTCTTGTAATATCTTCTTTTCTTTGGGATTTAAAAGCCACACTGGTACCATTTTGTGGAATCCTCAAGAGGTTTCATAACTAAAGATAATGAAATATAATGACAAAATGATACATCAAAATCTGTGAATAAAAACACAGAAAACATGGCCTATAATTTTGTTGGTTAGTTATAGTTATTAGTTATGGCAGATACAACTGTGTCTCTTGTGTAATACCACCTTGCTCTATGATACCACAAAGATAAGCATATGTTTATTGTGTAAGTGTATGTTTGGTAAAATTTACAACCTGACATGCCAATGACCCATTATTTTGTCAATCCATTTCTATTTCATGTACTGTAGTTTCAAAACACCACTCTCAAACAACCGATCAACTGAGCATACACAAAAACCTAAAATGTTCCGGCCACAGAAACTCTCAGAGCCCTGTACATAGAGGACATGCTCCATCAGCATCACAACACGCCACCTCAACCTGGGGAAAAATCAACAAACAACTTGACCCCGGCAGATTCACAGGTCACGGTCTCTGACCTCCAAAACCCCCAGAAAACCTTCCGGCAGGATTATCAGCCAGTGGGAGATGGTCGCAATGATTCCTGTAGTCCTAATGACTACGACTAGAGTCAGCATCTGTTTTGAAACACGTGATGTTGACACATAATATCGATGTAAGGGATCTCGATCTAAACCTTCTTGTCAACAGATGCAAGGCCAATGGCAGGTCACAATTTAAAAACTTTGATAAAAAGCCACAATGCATGGATGAAGTGAAATGTTCCAGATTGTACCACATGTAACACACTTTGAAGGGTGCTTAATTCGGGCGACTCACAATGCAGTGCACTACCAAGAGTTTGCCACAGAGAGTTCATTTTTCCCAGTGCATTGTGGGAGATGGACGACAAATTCGAAGCGCGAGCTGCTTGATATTGTTTTTTTTTCTTTTCCAGCCAGTAGTTTCGTAAGCGTATGATCCGAGTTTCTGTTTGCCCTTTTCTTTTCTTTTATTCAATATGGTGTTTTACTAAGGCGGCAGAACGCTATGCCCCAATCTATAGCAAATCAGCTCAAGTTGTCTACTGACACTCGTTCAAATGGCCCATATGTTTTGTCAACCGCAAACTCTTGGTGGTGCACTGCATTGTGATTCGCCCGAATTGAACTTGGAAGATTTTTGGAAGATTTTGCAGGATACCTCGAGTACAAGGAATATGTCACTACTTTTCAGCACAGTGCTTAATATTAGGAACATTTGGGAAGGCTTTTTGCAAGAATTAATTCCAAGGACATTGAGGATCAAAAACAATCCGAATTCATTTAGATTATTAATTTTGCTTTTGAAATCAAAAGACAAAAATACTAAATGTAGCAAAAATTGTGTTAAAGGGAATATACATCATTTGCTTTTGCTCTAATTTTCAGAAATGGATGGAATTGGGGGTTGGAAATATAAAGCAAATATAGTTACACTGACTTTTTGGAGGTTTTGGGTTCGAAAATGCTATAAAAACCAAGAAAAACGATCATTTTCCTGTAGTCTGGTTCCCTGACTCCATATAAGAAGAAACAGAGCAGTTTACATACATTGGGGAATTGTAAGGTCATGGAACCAGTCTAGCTGGCTCGTACCCGTTCAAAGGTTTGTAATCGATTGCAAACAAGTGCAATGGTCAATTGGGGCCAGTATTTGAAAAAAAGCCAGTTGTTTCCAACGCTGATCGGCCGATCAGCGTTGGAAATTGATACAAAAATACCACTTTTCTTGAAAATGACAGAATACCAGGTGCCATAATTTTACAGGATGCTTTAGACTGTCATTTATCAACATCCTATTAAGGTATTTCGCAAAAACTTGGTAGTTTTATTTTTCGATGTTTGCAAATGTTGTATATTCCCTTTAACATACACCCAATGGTAGTTTTCTATGCTTTGCAAAAATGGCCCCTAGCTGCAAACCAAACCAAACAAAAACCTGGACAGGCATTCGGCAAGTTTTTCATAGCAATCAGTTTAACTGTTTAAACTATATAGAACAACTGAACAATGGCCAATAAGTGAGTTATTTATTTATCACTAACGATTAGTAATCAATGTGGAATTCACTTGAATAACCCAACTGTTGACGCACTGCTGAAAAACAAAAGGCAAAACAGCTGATTGCGATGTTGTTCTATTTCGCGGTATCATTTCTAATACCTGGGGAATTTTCGATGCATCATCAAGCACACGTGTATACTAAACAACCTCAGAATTTTTGTCGAGATAAATAATTTCCGGAAAATTTGGATGGCAAATGCCCTGACAACTCGATTTTCATCAAGGGTTTAGAGTTCTGGTCATCTGTTCAGAAAGCTAAATAGCTGACCAGCTGATGTGAGAATCTAACACCTGTGGGTGATTCAACGGCAACAAATGCTGACCCAGGGGTTATTCTAAGGGCGAGGGGGGAGGAAGAGACAGGAAATTGAAGGTACGGGGGAGGGGGTAACGTTTTTAATTCTTCTTTTTTGGTGGATAATGTATTAATTAATCATAATAGTGGATATTATGTTCACTATAGCACTTAAGTTACGGTAATCCTTATCTTTAGGACACCTCTATTTTTAGGAGTTCTGTTCAAAACTGACTTTTGCAGATGACTGCATGTCCAGTACCAAAGTGACTTTTGCAGGCTAACGCAGTCTTGTTTCTTCAGATAAACTCATGTAAGTTGTATTTTTGAAAGCACTTTCAAAGAAAATGTGACTTTCCTACCTTTTTTTGCAGTTCGCCATCTTGCTTTTTTAATATATTTTCTGTTTGTCATCGTTGTCTTTATCCCCTCATAAATCAAAGCCCTGCCCTCTTTCTACAAAATTAAACCTGCTGATATTCAAGAAGGTGTCATTGCCAACTGTTCAAATGTGTCAAGAAATATAAGAATGTCACTTTTGAGTGTCATTTCGTCAGCTGTTTCGGTGAGTCTTTTAACCTATATAGGAATGGGGTCCTAAAGGTAAGGATTACCTAAGTAACTTTTATATTTACTATTTTTAACTATTTTCATTGCCTAGGTTTCATAGTTTTTATTGTGAGGCGCTTTGAGGTATTTTTACATAAAGCTCCATATAAACCTACCGGTACATGAAGAGTGTAAATTCATAACAGATATTTCAAGTATTCTCTTTTTAAGTGGCAGGGTCCCATACTTTGCATTTCCCTTCAGGCAAATCCGGACTGCTGACTAAAGTCAATTCCTATACAATGTCCTTAGAAAAATGCTAACAAGAATCAAGAGAGCGACTAATGAATGGCTGGGCAAACAAGAAAAGGTTAATGCATTCATCTCACCAACTCATAATGTTTGGTCAGTTACGAAAATTAAAAGGAAAAAACATCACACATTTATATGTTTAGCAGGATGAATTGAAATACACGCAATGAATCGCTAATTAACATGACTTCATCAAAAGGTGAAATTTGTGTTTGAACATGATAATTTAACTCTGGAAAAAAAAGTCAAGTATTTTTCTATTGAAAAATTCAGCTTGCTGTTATGCTATTTTGGCAAATGTGTTTATTCTCAGAATTACACTTTCCTAAAACATGTGTTATAAGGCTCATCTTTTGAATTGCAAGGTACTACATAGGATCAACCTGGTGGTGGGGGGTCTAGAATACTAGCTACGAGTTCTACAGAGAGTTGGTTCCTGCACAACGAGAAGCCATAGTTATAATTCCGAGTTTGGAATCAATTCTTTTGGATTCTGGTCTATACAGCTGCCCAAGTC